CAATGGGGCGGCTGGGCGTGGCCGGGTGGAGCCAATGGGGCGGCTGGGCGTGGCCGGGTGGAGCAAGTAGGGCGGGGCGGAGCCTGAAGCAGCAAGTGGGTGGGTGGGTGCGGCTGGCTACAGCAAGTGGGGCGGGGTGGGGCGGAGCCCGAGGGAGCAGGTGGTAGGCGTGGCCAGGTGGAGCGAGTGAGACCAGGAGCAAGTGGACCGGTGGGCGTGGCCAGATAGAGCAAGTGGGGTGGGGCGGCGGGGAGTAGTGGGGCCCGAGGGAGCAGGTGGGCGGGCGGGAGTGGCCAGGTGGAGCAAATAGGACTCCTTGGTACGGGGCGGGGCCGAGCCGGTTGGAGCGAATGGAGGTTGAGTCTAGTGTTGAGTCTGGGACTGGACCGGACAGATGGAGCCAGTGGGGTGGGACCAGACAAGGCGGGGTAAGCAGGAGTGGGGTTAGTGGGAGAGGGGGTTATTGGGAGGGATGGGCAAACCAGATGGGTAGGTGTGGTAATCTAGGCAGAGAGAGGGCAGGTGGAATAATTGGGTAATAGCAATTCATTAGTTCATTCCAGTCCCTTTCCTGGAAGGAATGCTACTTCCCTTTGTTTCCATTAATTCAAATGAGCCCCACTTCTTTACCGTGTGCAAAGTTAAGTGGGTTCGTTCTACCCTGGTTTACCGGGTGATCTATTTGTGTAGAACTTTGCACAAGAGACCTATTAAAGTTCTGATGTGGAAATCTAGGCGTTTTCTCGAGAGCCTATGTGGATGGAGACCTCTGGGTGCTGACCTCTGGACGGCACATTCTGTAAAGCTTCCATGGTGTGGTAGTTGACAGGTGCAGATGGGGAGATCGCATTTGAAGCAGATGAAAATGGCATGAGAGCCCGATGCCAGTGGTTCACCCCTGTAATCCTAGCTATTCATGAGGCTGAGATCTGAAGATCGTGGTTTGAAGCCAGCCCAGGAAAGAGTCTGTGAAACTCTTATCTCCAATTAACCAGCAAAAAGCCAGAAATAGAGGTGTGCTTCAAGTTGGTAAAATGCTAGCCTTGAGTGAAAAACTTAAAGGACAGTGCCCAGGCCCTGAGTTCAAGTCCCAATATTGCCTCCAAAGCAAAACACACCTGAGCTCCCCGATGCAAAGATCGAAGACCACCTTTCACTCCAGTCTCATTTTCTTGCTTTCCTCTCTTCCCACCATTCCCTCTACTTCAAAGTAGACCAAAATTAAATCCTACACTCTACAGGCTGGGAAGATGGCTCAGTGGTAGAGTGAGTGCTTACCTCGCATGCGTGAGGCCGAGTTCGATTCCTCAGCACCACATAAACAGAAAAAGCTGGAAGTGGTGCTGTGGCTCAAGTGGTAGAGAGCCAGCCTTGAGCTAAAGAGCTGAGGGACAGTGCCCAGGCCAACCGACAAAAAAAAAAATTTTTCTTTCTCTCCAACGCATCTTATGCTTTTGATATGCTAAATCGGATTAGGGCTGGGGCTGAAGTCCCAGGGTGCTGAAAGGCATAAGCTCAGGGCACAACAGTGTCTCAAGCCCTATTGGGCACAATGCCCACGTTTTTGGCTTAGGTTGTTATTCACTATATTTAAGCAAATAGGGAAACAGAATGTGAAGTGTTTTGAGAGGAAGCAAGGAGTTCACTGTTGGGCCTGTGGAGTCTCTGCCTGAGAGGCACAGGGAAGAAAGGCAGCCCTGTATGTGTGCATTTGGAGCTCAGGAGGGGAGTCCCGGCCCCAGCATGGTGCAGTCAGGTAGATTTGGCTGCCCTCTATAGGCACTGATGCCAGTGTCTCCCTGGGCTATATTGGGAGGGGTGGGGAATGGAGGTCAATTAGACCTGATTGGGCTGCTCTCTCACCAGTCCTGTGTGGAACTGCAGAGGTGGGTGGTCCCGGGAACAGGGATACAATCAGGGGATTTGAGGAATCTTCTGCAGCCTTTTTCACATTTTAGCAGCAATAATGAAATCGGTAGCTTACCCTGGAGACAGTCTTCCCGGGATGGCGCTGGGCCAGGGCTGGCAGACTGTAGCGCAGGGCACTACAGATGGCCCTGCTTTCCAGCCAGGGGACCACTGTCTCCCCACCTCATGCCTCTTGGGTCAGTGGGAAGATGAGAAAAAGTCAGACCCAACATACAAGCACAGTGCCTATGTGCATTTGGTCATGGAAATGTAAACAAGGTGTTTTTTTTTTGGTTGCTATTTTTGTTTTCTTTTTGTCTTGTTTGTTCATTTGTCTGTCTTTGGGAAGATAAGGGAGGGACACAGAAATGGAGGGACAAAGGGTGCACAATGTAGCAGTGATACTCAGTCACTTTGGATGGGGATAAGAGGGAAAAATTAGGAGAGAGCAAGGGAAAGGGGTGACATTGTCCAAAAAGAAATGTACTCATAGCTGGGAGCTGGTGGCTCACGCCTGTAATCCTAGCTGTAATCCTCAGGAAGCTGAGACTGAGCTCGTGGTTCAAAGTCAGCCTGGGCAGGAAAGTCCATTTGACTCTTATCTCCTATTAACCACCAGAAAACCTGAAGTGGCACTGTGGCTCAAGTGGTAGAGTGGTTGTCTTCAGCTGACGAGCTGAGGGACAGCACCCAGGCCCAGAGTTCAAGCTGTACAACCGAAAAAAAAAATGTACTCATTACCTAATTTATGTAACTGTCACCCCCCCATACATATCTCTATAATAACAGTTAAAAAAATTAAAGGAGGGGCTGGGAAGGTGGCTCAGTGGTAGAGCGCTTGCCTTGAGCTGAAGAACTTAGGGACAGCGCCCAGGCCCAGAGTTCAGGCCCCACAACCGGACCCCCCCAAAAAAAAAGGAAAAGTGAGGTGCCAGTGCCTCATGTCTGTAATCCTAGCTGCTCAGGAGGCTGAGATCTGATGATCGATCGCAGTTCAAAGCCAGCCCAAGCAGGAAAGTCTGTGAGACTCTTAGTTCCAGTGAACCACCAGAAAAACAGAAGTGGCACTGTGGCTCCAAGTGGTAGAATACTACCCTTGAGCAAAAGAGCTCAGGGATAGCGCCCAGGTCCTGAGTTTAAGCCCCACAACCAATCATCATCATCATCATCATAAAAACCTACAAAATGTAGAGTCTCTTCGCTAGATAGTGGTGGAAGCACCTCCTTGGACTCCCTAGTAGAGTGCTTAGAAACCCAGTGCCAGGGAGAAGATGGCTTCCGCTGAAGGGCAGAGGGCTTGCATTAGCCCTCCTGGATCTGCATGGTCCACTTTCACACATCCAACTAACAGCTTATCAAAAATCTTAGAAAGCGAGGCATTGGTGGCTCCCGCCTGTGACCCTAGCTACTCCAGAGGCTGAGATCTGAGGACCAGGGTTAGAACCTATCCCAGACAGGAAAATCAATGAGACTCTTTTCTCTAGCTCACCACCAAAAAGCTGGAAGTAGAGCTGTTGCTCAAATGGTAGAGCACATCCTTGAGGGAAAAAAAAACAAACAAACAAAAACTCAGGCCTTGAGTTCAAACCCCAGGTACCAAAAGAAAAAAAAAATGTTTTCTAACAATCAAAAGCATACATGTAAAAAAAAAAAAAGAATTTAAAAAAAAAGAAATAAAAAAGCATACATGTACATATATATATATATATATATGGATATTTTTGTAGGATATGCATTGAATTTTATGACCGCATTCTCCCCCCACTTCCTCTCTTCATTCTTCTACCCTCCTTCCCTTGCCCCCACACCTTTCCCAGTGCCCATTTCCTGGTGTTTATTTTGTTGGACTCCTGAATTAGCCTTTCCAAGGTCTTACATAGTTTGAGTTCTCCCTTGAATCTAGTATGTTTGTATATGCTTGTATAACACCCCAAAGTATTTACTCCCATACTTATAAATTAATTTTAGGTCCACATAAGAGAGGAAACAGAATTTCCTTTTTCTCTCTGGGCCTGACATGATTTTTTCCCCTCATTGTTTCCCAAACAATACAACATAAGAACAACTTACAGGACATGCACACATATTAGGAATTGCAAGTCATCTAGCTGTGGTTTAAGTCTTCATGATACATTTTATATAAGGGACCTGAGCTTAGGAGAAATTGGCATTTTGTTCTAGAGGTGTTAGAGTCCTTCCTCTGTGGTACCAAGGAACAAGATAAACATAGTTCTATAAGCAAGACAGTTGGCAAGAACTCAAAGGAGATTGGATAGGGAAACAGATTGCAAGTTAGAAATACCAATGCTTACAGGAAGAATCATTTTAGGCAGTAAGATGGCTTTTAAAATAGGCATTTAAAAAACTGGGTGCCAGTTGCTCACACCTGTACTCCTAACTCAAGGGGCAGGAAAGTCCATGAGACTCTTATTTCCACTTAACCACTAAAAAAAGGAAGTGGAAGAGAGCACTAGCCTTGAGCACAAAAGCTCAGGGACAGTACCCAAGCCCTGAGTTCAAAGCCCCAATACTTGTGCGCGCGCACGTGCACACACACACACACACACACACACACACACACACACACACACACACACACTGGGAATGTCAGGAGGCCTTCCGGGTATTTGGGGAAGAGCAGCACCATGGTGTTGACACAACTGAGTTACCAGCTGGGAAAAATACAGTTGGATCTCACACTTATATGATAATAAAATTCTAGATGACTTAAAGATTTAAATGTATATTAAAAAAAAGCCACAAAGATGGAGAAAAACACCATCAGTTACATTTGTAATTTTGGGGTGGAGGAGGCTCTTTAGCAGCTCACAGTCCCCAAATGCTATAAAAGATTGAAAACTGCAATTACATAACTGTGTGCTGGTTCATGCTAGTTCTTCTTTGGAGGGGGGGGAAGGCAGGGAGAGAGGGATGGAGAGAGGGAGAGAGACAGAAAAATTCAGGCAAAACCAGGGAGAAAATAACTTGCAACCTATGTCACAAAGGGCTTATTTCCTAAAGAGCTCCCACAAAACAATAAGAAGAAGGCCAGTGATGTGATAGAAGGTAAGTCAAGATCAGGGATGACTCCAGGGAAGGAAGTTTACACGACCATGATATATGAATTAGTCACTGCAGGCAGCACATGCTGGACTCCTGAATTAGCCTTTCCAAGGTCTTACATAGTTTGAGTTCTCCCTTGAATCTAGTATGTTTGTATATGCTTGTATAACACCCCAAAGTATTTACTCCCATACTTATAAATTAATTTTAGGTCCACATAAGAGAGGAAACAGTCTCATACTGAGACTCTTTCTTTCCATCCTTCCTTCTTTCTTTCTTCCTTTTTCTTTCTTCTTTCCTTCCTTCCTTCCTTTCTCCTTCCTTTCTTCCTTTTTTTTTTTTTGGTAAGTCATGGGGCTTGAACTCTGGGCCTGGGCTCAATCCCTCAGCTCTTCTGCTCAAGGCAAGCATCTACCACTTGAGGCACAATGCCACTTCCAGTTTTTTTGGTGATTAATTGGAGATAAGAGTTTCACAGACTTTCCTGCCCTGGCTCCCTTTGAACTGCAATCCTCAGATCTCAGCCTCCTAACTAGCTAGGATTCATGAGCTACTGATGCCTGGATCATCATCATCTCCTCCTCCTCCTCCTCCCCCCTCCCATCTCACCCTTCCCCATTCCCCCTTCCTTCTTTCTTTTGCCTGAAATCAGGGCCTCACCAGTCTTGCTTGACTTCTTTTTGCTAGAGATTAGTCTCAAGGACTTTCCTGCCTAGATTAGCTTCCAACTTAGATCTTCATAGCTCTCAACCCCCTGATTAGCTAGGATTAGAGGAATGAGCCACCAGCACTCAGCAAGATCTTTTACAATCACCAGGTTGCTTTGAGAAGGATGTGAGAAGAGAGAAAGAAAATACCCCCCCTTGTACAGTAGAGTAGTGATCTGCCACAATTGCCTTCTTTAGAGAAGGCAATTGGGAACTATCAAAGGAAAAGACTTTTTGTGACAAGGTGTTGGTATGTTGCTCCAGCTGGCCTTGAACTTCTGAACTTGTCATCCTGCTTCAGTCTGAGTAACTGGGACTACAAGTATAATACTACTACAACTACATAATTTTATATAATATATATATATATATACAAATTTATATTTAAAGCCAGGCGCTGGTGGTTCATACCTGTAATTCTAGCTACTCAGGAGGCTGAGATCTGAGGATTGCACCTCAAAACCAGCCAGAGCAGGAAAGTCCATGAAACTCTTATCTCCAATAAACCACCAGAAAACTAGAAGTGGCACCGTGGCTCAAATGGTAGAGCACATGCTTTGAGCTAAAGAGCTGAGGGACAGCGCCCAGGCCCAGGCCCCATGACTGACCAGAAAAAAAATTATATTTAAATAAATGTATATGTAATTTACAAATTCATATATATTTTAACCTCATGATTCAATATACCAGTATTTCTCCTTTAGACCCATGTGTCCATGTATCAAATGATAGATAAACAAGGATATGAGCTCATTCTTGTAATTCAAATATCCCATCAGTGAGTTTAGTAGACTATACCACAGCTGCAAAGAATGAGACAGCTCTATAGTGCCTTGGGTTGATCGATCAGTCAGTCACCACCTTAAAGTGGGCAAAGCGGGGCATAGCATGCCACCACTTTTGCATTATGGGGGAAACTGGCCAGAAGCAATAGTGGATATCTGTAATCCCAGCTACTCAGAAAGCTAAGGCAGGAAGATCTCATGTTTGTGGCCATCTTAGGATATATAATGAAACCCTGTCAAAAAAAAACAAAAGTGCTGAGAGTGCGGTTCATATGGTAGAATGCTTACCTAGCAAGCACTGACTGGTTCAGTTCTTCATTGAAAAGAGACAGAGATGGAAAGAGAGAGAAGGAAGAGAAGGGGGAGGGAGAGACATGCCATAACATATGCAAAATGATTTTCTTTATGAGGCAAGTTCTCAACATGTTGCCTATTCTGGTCTTAAACTTTTTTTTTTGTCAGTTGTGGGGCCTGAACTCTGGGCCTGGGCGCTGTCCCTCAGCTCTTCAGCTCAAGGCTAGCACTCTACCATTTGAGCCACAGTGCCACTTCCAGCTTTTTCTGCTTATGTGGTACTGAGGAATCGAACCCAGAGCCTCATGCCTGCAAGGCAAGCGCTCTACTACTGAGCCACCTTCCCAGCCCTCTGGTCTTAAACTTCTGAGCTTGAGCAATCCTACCTCAGCATCCCAGTATTGGAACTATAGGCATGTGCTGCCATGTCCACTAGAATCAATTTTATTATTAAGTGAATGCAGAAAGAGAAATTCATGGACCCTAAGGGGAAGCAGATTGTGAAGAAAATGAGATTCATGGCGGGCAGGATGCACCCAGAGCCTGGGTGCAAATGGACCTGCGCCCTAGGCTGTGGGCACTGGGAATGTTGCTGGGAGGGGGTAGGGGAGTTGGGGGGAGGGTCTCAGCCCTGAAATTCCTTGTCAGAGATGGGCTGGGATGAAGGATGTCTCCAGGTGACAGGTCTAAACTGGCAAGTGCCAGTTTAGAATCCTCATCCTGAACCCCTCTGAGTCCATCCAGCTGGGTTCCTGCCCAGGTTGCTCTTAGGAGAGTAACAGCCACTCCCAGAATAGGAAAGTATTTTCTCATTTACTTTGTGGCATGATGTTTATTTCTCTTCTGCTTGAATAACAAA